CTGGGCTTTCTGCCTTTGGCTCAGGAGCTGGTTGACTAAAATCCCTTATTTTGGCTGCTGGTCCCTTATTTTTGAGGCTGCTGGTCCCTTATTTTCAAATCTGTAAGTTGACAGCTATGGGGTGGCTGCCGATGAGAGGACACATCTGGCCTCCAAGGAGCGCACTACAGCCGTTGTTGCCACTGCAAATACGTTCCTCAGAGGCTGGATCTGGATGACACCAAGCAAACACCTGTGGAAAGCTCCCAAGCAGGACATGAACGCAACAACACTGTCCCTGTGGTTTCCAGCAGCTGGTATTCAGAAGCAAATCACCTCCAGCAGTGGAAGCAAAGCACAGTCATCCAAGTTGACGGCCGTCACAATCTCTTGTGGGAGCATATTCCAAAGTTCCAACTGTGCGCTGTGCTGAATCTTCCAGTATTCAGCTTCATTGGCTGTCCATGAGTTCCAGTATTAGGCAAGAGGGAGAATAACTTTTAACCACAATATGCACAATTTTATACACTTCTGTCAGGTCTCCTCTTACTCGCCTTTTCTCTCAACTAAACAGCCCTGAACACTGTAATTTCCCCCCATAGGGGAGTCGCTCCAGCCCTTGATCATTTGGGTTGCCCTTTGAGAGCCAGTGTGGTGTAGTGGTTAAGAGTGGTGGACTCGTAATCTGGTGAACCGGGTTCGCGTCTCCGCTCCTCCACATGCAGCTGCTGGGTGACCTTGGACTAGTCACACCCCTTTGAAGTCTCTCAGCCTCACTCACCTCACAGAGTGTTTGTTGTGGGAGAGGAAGGGAAAGGAGAATGTTAGCCGCTTTGAGACTCCCTAGGGTAGTGATAAAGCGGGATATCAAATCCAAACTTCTTCTTCTTCTTCTTCTGAAACTTGTACAATATCGTTTTTGAGGTGTGGCAGCCAGAAGCAACCACAGTCATTTCCCCAGCATGTTTTGCATAAAAACACCTTGAGATAGGCAGTTTTATTTCCCCCCCCATCTTTCTCCTACCAATCCCGAACACAGAATTCGCTTTTCCCAGAGGGAAACAAGGCCCATTAAAAGGAGAGGGTTGGCGAGTCAACAGAGCAATCATCCAACACAACCACAAGATCTCTGTCCTTGTCAGTCACCACAAAGTTGGATTTTTTGCCCCAATGTGCATTATCACTTTACACTTGTTTTCACTGAATTGCATGTGCCTGGGAAGGGAATGGCATAGACTGTGTTTGGTGGTGCTCAGATGTGCTTGTTCCAACATGCCCTGGAGTCCAACCCTTTCAACTATGCATGCATGGTTTCCCACCCTGCAGGGCTCATAAAAGCAAATGAACAACACTCTGGTGTAACATTTGCCTCGACAGGAATGTTCCTGAACAATTCCTTTAGGCATATATGTGATAAATGTTAAGTCAAAATTGGTCATCCACAGAGAGTTAAGGTTTTACTCATTGCTCATGGTATCATTCCAGAAACTTCACACTGGTGAAGAATTCTGACACGTTTCCCACAAGTGTACCTCCACAGATATCATTCAAAGGTAGCCCCAACAGAGCCTACTTGGGAGTTAGGAAGCATCACTTCCAGCTGCACCAAAAGAAAAACAGTAAAATTTCAGCTTGGAGAGATCCTTTTGCTCCTAATTCCAGGTCACCCAACACCATTAAACATTCCCTGTAATTAATTAAATGGCAACAGTTTTGTGGATTCAACATTATTAGATGGACTTTAAAAAACAGAAGGAAGCCAAACAGTAGAGTTGAAACCTGAGGTTGTGGGATCCTGGAAAGACCATGTTTCATTCCGTTCTTTTTCTTACTAAAAATGAAGTCTGTTATGGTTTTGAAGGTATTCTTGAAGGTGCTTGGGCAATGCTTAGGGGAAAAGAGAATGAGCCCTGTATCCTACTGGGACTGAAATTAATTTTGTTACCGGGGGGGGGGGGTTAAGGCTCCCCCAATATCTCTGGATTCAGTAACAGAGTTAGAATTCAAGCAAATCCCATAATTCCTGGCTTTAGTAAATGTGGAGTTTAACCAATGGATTTAGAAGGGTAAAAATACAAGCCAGACTTTTTTTTCCTGACCAGAGAATTGCCTGGGGATGCGCTATTATGAAACAAAGGCAGTCATTAACCCAGCAAGAAAGGAATCAACAAGGCAGAAGACTTTCTGCTGGACACGGGGGGGGGGGGCACAGCCGTCAGATGGTGGGCAGAGAGCAAAGCAATTTAGGATTTCAGGGTGGATGACATAAGCAGACAAGGGGAAAGTGTCAGCTTTGCAAGCGGTTTGGCAATGCAGGGAAGTGGGGGGTCTCAGCCCCGTGTGGGCTGGCTGGGACAAGGACACATACTAGAGCATGGCTGATTTCATTTGCAGACCCAGGCCTGCTGCACCTTGGGGTGTAATGCTGGGATTCTCCTCCATTCAAGCTCAGGTTGTCGTTTAGTCGTGTCCGCCTCTTCGTGACCCCCTGGACCAGAGCACGCCAGGCACTCCTGTCTTCCACTGCCTCCCGCAGTTTGGTCAAACTCATGCTGGTAGCTTCGAGAACACTGCCCAACCATCTCGTCCTCTGTCGTCCCCTTCTCCTTGTGCCCTCCATCTTTCCCAACATCAGGGTCTTTTCCAGGGAGTCTTCTCTTCTCATGAGGTGGCCAAAATAATGGAGTCTCAGCTTCACGATCTGTCCTTCCAGTGAGCACTCAGGGCTGATTTCCTTCAGAATGGATAGGTTTGATCTTCTTGCAGTCCATGGGACTCCCAAGAGTCTCCTCCAGCACCATAATTCAAAAGCATCCATTCTTCGGCGATCAGCCTTCTTTATGGTCCAGCTCTCACTTCCATACATCACTACTGGGAAAACCATAGATTTAACTATATGGACCTTTGTTGGCAGGGTAATGTCTCTGCTTTTTAAGATGCTGTCTAGGTTTGTCATTGCTTTTTTCCCAAGAAGCAGGCATCTTTTAATTTCGTGACTGTCACCATCTGCAGTGATCATGGAACCCAAGAATGTAAAATCTCTTACTGCCTCTATTTCTTCCCCTTCTATTTGCCAGGAGTTGATGGGACCAGTGGCCATTATTTTTGTTTTTTTGATGTTGAGCTTCAGACCATATTTTGTGCTCTCCTCTTTCACCCTCATTAAGAGGTTCTTTAATTTAAAGAGGTTATATGTGTAACTAAACCATACATCATAAAGACACCACCGTCTCCACTGTGCCTCATTTTCAAAAAGAAATAGAGACCTTGGTATGTGTGCCTAGCACGCCTGGAATGTTGCACTGCTTGGAGATTGGGGTGGTGTGCAACAATATTCTTCCCCACCACCCCTGCTTGCATCTCCCTTACTTTCTGCTGTCGTCTCCTATGCCAATGTTTAAATTGTAAGCTCCTCGGGGCTGGGATTGCACATTGTGAAACACACGAGGAATGCTGATGCGAACACAGGAAGCTGTTATCACCTACAAAATCTTTCCCAGATCTACCTAGAAATGCAAAGCAGGGGTTCTGTTATAGAGCTAGACTTTTTCTCTGTGGCAGCATCTCCCTAAAGGGTTTTGTGGTCCTAGACTCACAGGTGTTGGCAGTCTGCAGGGAATCCAGTGCCTCAAACCCCTCAAAGGTCAAGCCCTGAAGCAAAGTTTCTGATAAAGGCTCTGGAAAGTACCGTATTTTTCGCTCTATTGGACGCACCGGACCACAGGACGCACCTAGTTTTTAGAGGGGGAAATCAAGGAAAAAAATATTATTTCCCCCCCCCCCAGCCCCAAAGAGCAACGGACAGGCTGCGCGCTTCCTCTTAAGCCTTGAGCAGCATCTTTAGCCTTGCACAACGGGATGGATCGTGCCCGCTGTCCACTGGGGCTGGACTAGATGACTCCTGGGGTTCCCTTCCAACCCTGCAATTCTGTGACCTCAGAAGTTGTTGGGGGTCTCCACCACTGGAGGCTTTTAACCAGCGGTTGGGGGACCATCTGCCTGGTGTTCTTTAGCTGTGATTCCTACATTGTGAGGGGGCTGGGCTAGATGACCCTCGGGTGGCCCTCCCAACTCTATACAGTCCTACACTTCTGCGGCAGGAGATCCACAGCCACTTCACACAATGCCCACTCCCAATTTTCACTGGAGAGACATGTGGCTTCACTGTCTAGGTAGGTACCCCCTACCTGCCACTCTTCCCTCACCCCACTTAAGCTGAGGGAATTCCTGCCCAGAGAAGCTCCCAGGTGAGGCAAGGATTAAGATATACCTGTGGTAAATGGCTTTGTATCCTCCCTCTTTCACTTTTCTCTTCTTCTTCTATGCTAGTTCCTTCTCTTGTGTTTTGTTTAATCTGTTTTTATTGTATACTAAAATAAAAGCTGCAAAGTTGCCTTTTTTATAATATTCCCCCCCTCCAAACTAAAACATTAATCTAGATAAAAACACTGATCCAGAGGAAAATAAGGGGGTGGAGAAAGGACGAAAAGAGAAAAAGAGGTAGAGATAGAGAGATTTTTTAAAAGTTGGCTTCTTTAGCCTTGTGCAGCCTCCCGTGGCTGGAGAGGCGTGCTAGGCAAAAGAGGAAGCCTGGGCAGCGAGCGGGATGGATTGTGCTCGCTGCCCGGGCTTCCTCTTTAGCCTTGCGTAGCCTCCCACGGCTGGAGAGATTGCGCAAGGCTTTTCTAGAGGAGGGAGAAGGGACTGACTGGCCGCGTCAGTCCCTTCTCCCTCCTGGGGAAAAGCCCGCAAGGGCCGCGCGAAGCTTGTGTGTGGCTCTTGGGGGCTTTTCCTGCTTGCCTCCCCCCTGCATTCGCTCCATAGGATGCACAGACTTTTCCCCTTAGTTTTTAAGATGGAAAAACTGTGTCCTATGGTGCGAAAAATACGGTAGGTCAAGTGGTCAGGGTAAGGTCAGAACAGCCTATCCCTCCTTTGTGGCCCCGATTCTTCCATTTCCCCTTGCCGTGTTATCGACAAAAATCAAGAACCCTTCATATTGCTTAGAAGATGACATTAAATCAAGGTAGAATATTGTATGTTCTTTATTTATATTAATTACATATTCTGCAAGCACAAATTAAAATCTCATTGCATACATCCTCTTTTGCATTCTAAAAGCTGTGTGAACCTAGCGTGGAATCCAGACTTAAGCAGAGGTTTAGACAAAACAAAAGGAACTCTTATTATGCAGACTAGGATTTTTCTATGTATACAGTTCAGGAACACTGCATAGCATTTAGACTAGCCTCCTCTAAAGATGGAGCCCTCCAGGTACTTTGTCCTACAGCTCTCATCAACCTTGCATGGACTGGCTGGGGCTGATGGACATTGTAGTCCAAAACGTCCAGAGGGCACCAGGTTGAGGAAAGCTGATTTAGACAGTGGACAGAACAGACAACTACAGCATCTTTGAACAGTTGCGTCCCACTTGAATTCTGCTGGGGGGGGGGGGAGAGAGACGTAATAGGAAACCTTTTGGCATGGTAGGTTGGAACTGATCTAATCTGGGTCAGCCAGACAGAGGTGTGTCAACTTTGGTGTACTTCGGGTCACCCACAAAAGTGAGAGACTTTGTCGGACATGGCTTACAAAAGTGTGTGCATGTGTTATTCTTTTAATGCTTTCTTATACGGTTTCTTTTTTGCTCTTGAACTCATTGTTTGAGAGGAAACAGAGTGTGTATGCCATGGAGGACATGCTTTTTTCTGGGTTTTCAGTCTTTTCTCTATTTTTATGTATCGCTTAGTTTTATGCTGAACCACCCCGGGGCCAGTTCCCAGGAGTGAATGGCAGTATCTTGCAGCCTGAGTCACGACAGCTGCACACCACTTCCAGATTTGTGCTCTCGGGATTCTACAACAGTTTTCACAAAAGAGTTTAGCAAAGTATCAGCATGGACTAGTAATTGGGCTTCTTGGAAAATGTCGTGTTCTAGGTGGTGTTAAAAGCCACCGTCTATTTTCCTTAAATTTCGACCGGTTCCTCAAAAGGTCAAATTGCTAGACTGCCTGCCTGAACAGATTTCTTGGTCACACAATCAACAGCCACTAGTTCCAGTTCTCGCTTTGCAGATGTTCAGCTCTAGATAAAAAGCCAACTCAGAAGAAATACCAACAGACTTAAAAAAGAAAAACCCAAAACAAAAACACCTGAGTTTCTTACTTCCCCTTAGGCTCACGTGTCTCCATATGGAACTGGGCTAAGAGGCACAGCTGCATTTGCTGCCCAGAAATAACTTCCCATCTCAAAGAAAACATGTTTCCCGTGACAGCTGCTCACATGATTTGCTTTGCATGATGTGGCAACATTCTCCCCTAAATCAAAAGGAAATTCTGCAGAAACCCCCATTTTCATTTTGTGGTGTTTTTTTTTTTTTTTTTGCAAAAGTTGCAAAAACTTCTCTTCCTAAGAAACATCTGTGTTCTGCCATCTTCTAGTCATCAAAATCAGGAATGTCGTCATAGGAATAGCCCCTGTAGCCTTTGGAAGCAAAATACGCAATACGCAAATGATAGAAGCCAGGAAGGAAGACCAGGATTCCGATGATCAGGACAGGGATCGCTCGATCGGTTCCCTGGAAAACAAACGAGAATAAGGGCTTTTTCATACCTTGGCCTGGAACAGCTAGCCTTCTCTATACCAGGCAACATGCAGCTAGATGTGCAGACTGAGGTGAGGAGATGTGAAAGTTCTGCCTGCAATGGCCCATTCACCCGTTCAAAGTTGCAGCCATCATTGCACAGGAAAACCAGCACTAAGACTGTGAAAGCCAGAGGGGGCAGAAGGCCACCCAGTCCAAACTGGGACCATTCACACCAGTCCCCTTTCTTGTTTCCTCCCACATCACCCCAACCACAATGTACTTAAGTACTTAAAACATTGCAAGGGGTTAGACTAGATGATCCTTGGGGTCATTTCCAACTCTACGGTTCTGTAATCCTGGATGTTTCCTGAAGAAATGATCGCCGGGTGTGGAGCACACTTCTACCCGCAGACAGGCCTCAGCTGTCTGAACATCATGCCCTCTATCTAATCTTTGCTCTCTTAGTGGTCTGCCGTGCCCTGTCTGTGACCTTTGTCTCCTTCGTCATACATTGTTCAAGGGGAAAATGACGCGGTGGAAACAGGTGCCAAAATAATTTTGTGCCACCCCTCAATCTCGGGATTGGAAGATGTGTAAAGGTCACAGCCTAAAATGTATCTGACTGGTTTTGCATATTGTGCTAATAAAAGGAGCTTCTACAGAGCTAGCTGGCAGCTTGCTCCCTTGCCAGCTTGCTTATGCACAGCTCATCTGATGAACAACACCTGACTCATGTCCTTTACTTCACATATATTAGAAAGGAACACAAACTTTCTCCAAGGTCACTATCAAATCGAATTTGGGGGTGAGGGTATTCCGGTATGCAGAGATCAGTTAAAGACTCTGGATAGACTCTATATGGCCTAGGACCCTCGTACCTACGGGACTGCCTCTCCTGGTATGTCCCACTGAGGACCTTATGGTCTTCAGACAAAAACATCTTGGAGATCCCGGGCCACAGAGAGGTTGGGCTGGCCTCAACCAGAGCCAGGGCTTTTTCGGCTGTGGCTCCAATCTGGTGGAACGCTTTGTCACAAGAGACTAGGGCCCTGCGGGACTTGACATCTGTCCGCAGGGCCTGCAAGACAGCTGTTCCACCAGGCCTTTGGCCAAGGCACAACCTGACCCCCTCCTTTGGTAATCCTCACAGAACTCTAGCCCAATGGTTGCCATTGATTTGATTTGAACTGATTTTATAATGAATTGATTTTAGAATGCTGTGTTATTTCACTGTTGTTGGCCGCTCCGAGCCTGGCTTCAGCTGGGGGGGGGGCGGGATAAAAATAAAATATTTATTATTATTATTATTATTATTATTATTGACAAAAGCCACTCACTCCAATATCCCCAAAGAAAAAATGACGTTGTCTGGAAACCCATGCCACTAAGTAGCCCAGCTCTTGATCCCGATGTCATGAGAGAAATGCAAGGGGGAGAACCCCCAAGACCAGCCAATGGCATTCTAAAGGAGGGTGGGGCAGCACCAGTGTGTGGTCAATGCCATGGCACTTATGTGCTGCTTTCTGGCTTGCAACTGAGGCATCTGGTTTGCCACTGTGAGAACAAAGTGCTGGATCAGTTGCAGGAAAGAGGACTCTCCTCATGTGCTCAAGTGCCTGAAGCGGAGCGCTGCATTCCTTCCTCCATGAGGAAATGTGGATGGCGCAATGTCTCCACATGTGGAATGTGCCCATCCTCAGCTCTGGGCTTTCAAAAAAGTGTGAGAAAAGGAAGCAAAACTCACTCGGATTCCCCCTCTGCTTCACCTTAGTTCATAACATCCAAACTGTTGTCAGGCCTATGGAACGGCCTGAAGGAACACGACACACACACCAACTTCTAAAGGCTAGCAGGTTAATAACTTGACACCTGTTTAACTACAAGATCACCTTCCCCCTGTATGTGCCCATTGGGCTGCTTCGATCAGCGGAACTGGCATTGCTATAAGTGCCACATAATGCCTTTCTTGTATTTGTAAAAATTCAATCTTTTAGTGTGGCAGTACCTACACTCCGGAACCCCCTGCCTATTGAGACCAGGCAACCGCCTTCGCTGTACCCTGTTCAGTGCCTGCTAAGAACATTCCTGTTTAGGCAAGCCTAGCCAGATGTTTAGAAATTTACGCAACGTGCTGTTACTTTAAATTATTGTTGTCAATTTCTCCTATTGATCATTTTATCCTTTCCGTAAACTGCTTTGAGGTCTTTTTTGCTTTTTACAATCAAGCGATGCACAATTTTGGTGAAATAAATACCTAAGTCTAGTTTTATCTGGTCCCAGGATGGGAGACCTCTTGGTGGGTGAGGGAGCCACTATTTGCAAGAGCTGTAACAGGTCACTTTTTCAAAGCACACATAGATACCCTACTGGTCAAAACTGAGACAAAATGGCAGCCCCTCAGTTACCATGCCCCCAAAGTCCCTTCCGAATCCTGCATCCAAAATAAACGACTCCTATGTACAGGGCAGCTCCACAAGAATGCAATTTTGATGCCTTGTATCTCAGTTAGTTCATGATCGTTCCAAGGCCAGGTCAGCCCCGGCAGAAGAGCTGAGCCACTTACTCCTTTGCTGATGTATCCTGCCAGGAGCAGACCCCCAATGATAATGAGAAGGGTGCCAATCAGGAACAGCACTGTGGCCAGAGCAATGGCCTTGTAGGGGATCTTGGGGGGGCTCCTCTTGAACTAAAGGAGGAAGAAGAGACAGGTCAGCATCAAAAGCATCACTGGCCACTTTCAACCCGCTTATGAAAGCATCACACTTCCATGGAACCACTAGAGCCGCCAGCATGGATGGCTTTGGCAGGAGTAGACGACAAAAGTGTAGGAGTCAGGCTGATCAGCGGCAGATGAGAGGAACACACAGGATGATCCTCAAGGATCTTTATGAAGGGGTTAGTCCATCAGCATCAAACTCCACAGAGAGTTTCAGAACAGTGGGCTAGACATACTCTGGGCCAGATCCAAACAAGGTCACCGAGAGGGGCAATTACAGCTCCCTCCCCCACCCCCCAAATGCTGCGTGCCTTAGCTCAGTGTTTCCCAACCTTTTTTGGGCAAAGGCACACTTGTTTCATGAAAAAAATCTCGAGGCACACCACCATGCCAGATGGGGAAAGGTCACTTTTTACTTATTCACTTTTTGAATAATAAGAATTATACGTCATGGGGGGGGGGCAGGATTTTAGAGATGTTTAGGTGGGGCATGGCCCAAAAAAAGGTTGGGAACCACTGTTCTAGAGCAAGTAAAGCTACCCCAGAGGGGGAAGGGTGGATTGAAAAAGTGGAATGAGGACAAGAGCCTATTCTTGCCAGGCTGCTGCTACACCCACTGGTCTTCCAATTGATCCAAATTGGGTCGCAGTGCCAAGTGCAACCGTGCAAACTATATGGCCAAAGATTTAAGAAGCTGGTCCCCCAAGTGCAATGTGTTTGGGTTCAATGTGGAAAAAGTTGACAGCGGCGGGTCTGCACTTGGAGGGCAGGAGCTCTTCAAGGTTTCCAAGGCAGGGATCGACGCCGGGAACTGATGTGCCTGGGATCCTTTTCGTGCAAAAACACACCTACACTCTGCCCGCTGAGTCACGACGCGGAAGCCTCTGTGGTTGTTTGATGCTTGTTCAGCATTTGGCGGTCATTCTGGGGGGTTGGGGGGTGTCTGGAAGAGGGGCAGCCCCCCGCCAAGCCCCTCGAGGCCCCGTCTCGGCTGCCCCTCGCCTCCTTCCCACGGCTCCCGGGGCTCCTTCCAGAGAACAGGAAGGCCCGCGACCTGGGGCGTGTGTATCCCCCCCCCCAGTCTCGGGCGCCTTCCTCACCCGTTCAGCGGGGGTCCCAGGGGTCGGTTTCCCCCTCCGGGACGAGGCGCAGGACTCCCGCCAGGTCCGCCCGGCACTCCCAGGAGCAGGCGGCCGGCGGGCGCAAAGGGGCCTCCAGCGGCGGGAGCTTTTGCGAGGCCAGCTACCGCCGCCAGGCTGCTGCCGCTCGCCATGGCAAGCAGGAAGCCCCCCGGGCTCTGGGCGCCGAGAGGATGCTACGCGGCGGGACCATACGCGGGCAGCGGAGAAGGAGAAGGGCGGCGGGAGAGGGGCGGTTCTCGAGGGGGGAACTAAGCTTCCCAAGATCGCGGGGCTCACCGGACGGTTCTTCCCCGCAGGAACTTCCGCCCTTCCGCAGCTTCAACCGTAGACGTATTAGCATATGATAGGATGAAAGCTGGCCATAGAGAAAAGGCGAAGTTTGGCTGTCCGCAGCCTGGATTCCCGGGTTTCTTTCGACGTTACAGCCCCGTGACGTCAGCGCCACGCAGGCAGCCAGACGGCGAGAGCCCCGCGCTGGGTGGCCTCTCCTCGCCGCCCCGCCTCTCGCCGCCCGACTCCCTCCCACGGCACACCAGGCAACGTCTCGCGGCACACTAGTGTGCCGCGGAACACCGGTTGGGAAACACTGCCTTAGCTGCAGGTAAACAATGGGGATACAAGTTGGAACCCAACTCCTTCAGATAAATGTTGAATAGTACTCCAGAGCCAGTGATGTAACCAGGCAATGGAGCCATTGGTATGGGTGGGTGGCTTTCAGGCTTCATCTAAGCAGCCCAAATCAACTGTTTTTAGCACTGGAAAAGCCCAGCAAAAAAATACCCCCCAAAATAAAAAGGGGAAAGGGAGCAACTTCTTCCACTGGTAGGAGGAGTGCATTCAGATTCAATTATCCTGGAGTGCTCCCAACACAGGTGCCGCCCACCCAGGAGGGTTCTGCTGTACTGGCTGAAAGTGTCACTGCCAGTGGGGTGGTGATGGTAGAAGAACAGGTAAAGAATATAACCTAAGGACACAGGTAATTGCCAGGTCCCCAAGGAAAAGCCTCCTAGGGAGCAAATGTTACAGAAAACTCCTCTGCGTGAAACCTGGGATAAATGCTGCCAGCCTGGGCTGGACAGCCCAGCGGCCTGCCTTCAGTACAAAGCTACATTGTACGTTCAGCCAATATAGCAGGCAATTCCAGGTCTGCTTTAATGCTACAACCAGCCAGTGTGACAATGCTGCCTCCAAGTGGTCCACTTTTAAAGCATCTTCATAAACACACAAAACACAGGAAGAGCGAAAACCCCAACCGACCCTGGAACAGAAATGAAACATTCTGGGTGTGTTTGCCACCCTCTCGCCCCAAAACCCAACTTCCATTCTGATGGTAATATCTCCATTTGGGACTGGCTTGCTTTTCATCCCTTTTCTGAAATTATCACCTGCAAAGACCAGCTCCCCATTTAGACCTGAATCTCCTCCTCTGGTCTTGACAAACCAGGATGCTTGAGGGAGGAAGTTGCCCATCTATAGTAAATGCAGAGTGAAGTTACAGGGAAAGCTTCCTCCTCTAGAGCCAACACCCCACCCCCAAGAAAGAAAGAAAGAAAGAAAGAAAGAAAGAAAGAAAGAAAGAAAGAAAGAAACCCACCTTCGTCCATCTTACCTACAGGACCACCTCTTAAGGTCCACAAATAACAACATTTTGGAGGTCCCAAGTTGCAAGGTGGTTAGATTGGTCTCAACTAGGACCAGGGCCTTTTCAGTACTGGTCCCAGCTTGGTGGAACGCTCTGCCAAGAGACTAGGGCCCTGTGCGACTTGACATCTTTCAGCAGGGCCTACAGGACAGAGCAGTTCCACCTGGCCTTTGGTTTGGACTCAGTCTGACCCTTATGTTTCCCTCCCCTTATGGTTTTGATCTATGGGCTACTTTTAAAATGAGGCTGCATTTTAAATTGCATTTTAACCCATATTTTAAATTGCGCCCCCCTTATGATTTTACTGTAATTTTACTGGTGTTAGCCACCCTGAGCCAGGGTATAAATAAATAATAATTTATTATTATTATTATTATTATTATTATTATTATTATTATTATGCGACTCTTAAGGAACAGTGTGATCAGTTGTGCATTTGCACCAGTGCCCACAAATCTTGGCTTGGCTTGCAATGGTGGGGTCATCTACCCCTCTACTCTCCTGAGCCTTCTGTGCAGAGGAATCAGGAGGGGCAGTCTCTTTTAAGCTGAAATTTTGAGAAAAGAAGGTGCAGCAGAAGAGGCTCCTGCTAACAACGCTTACATCCTCTAAGCTGCCGTGGAAATGCAGCCTTTTGGGATTTAGGAAGAGGCAGGTGTGTCTGAGCTCTCAGCTCCACAGAAGCAAAGAAAAAGCAAGGAGGCCAGGCTTAAACATACAGGAATTGTTTATTTGCGTTGATAGGGGCTTTGACCTTTCAACAGCAACCCCAAGATGTTGACTGGGTTAACACTCAAGTTCCCAAAGTACAAAACCCCTTTGGGTTATACAGAATGCCCCAGTCCCAGTAAATGGCTACATGTAATAGCAGGATAGGACGCGGGTGGCGCTGTGGGTAAAAGCCTCAGCGCCTAGGGCTTGCCGATCGAAAGGTCGGCGGTTCGAATCCCCGCGGCGGGGTGCGCTCCCGCTGCTCGGTCCCAGCGCCTGCCAACCTAGCAGTTCGAAAGCACCCCCGGGTGCAAGTAGATAAATAGGGACCGCTTACTGGCGGGAAGGTAAACGGCGTTTCCATGTGCTGCGCTGGCTCGCCAGATGCAGCTTTGTCACGCTGGCCACGTGACCCGGAAGTGTCTTCAGACAGCGCTGGCCCCCGGCCTCTTGAGTGAGATGGGCGCACAACCCTAGAGTCTGTCAAGACTGGCCCGTACGGGCAGAGGTACCTTTACCCTTAATAGCAGGATACTGCCACCTTGTAAGGCATATCTGAACTTAAGTGAGGATCACGACGCAGGTGGTTCTTCTGAAATGCAAGGGATTCATTTTGTCCTGGTTCTCCCCCCCCCCCAATTTTACCTGAAGGTCAATGTAGCCTTCATCTGTGCTCGCAAGCTTGGAATATTTCACTTTGCTGCTGGGGATCGAAGCTGCCAGGTTAGTTCGGGATGGCATCTTTACCGGTAGGAAGCATCAGCACCTACAGCCTGGGGGAGAGAGAAAAAGCTCTTGAGGGGACGGGAAGAGAGTAGGAACAGCAGATTTTAATGCAGGAGAGGAACTGAGACAACAAAGAAAAGCAGCCTATGTTACTAAGGGCTTGTTTACATTTGAGCAATAGTTTAATTGTTAATCTGTAAGAACAGCGTGCTGGATCAGGCCAATGGCCCATCTAGTCCACCCTCCTGTTCTCACAGTGGCCAACCAGATGACTGCAGGAAACCCATATGCAGGATTTGAGCTTAAGCCCTCAGAGAGAGAAGTCCCCATCTGCATTGGCCCACAATTTAAGTCACACAGAGGCTTCAAACGAAAGGAAACCAAAGAAAATTCAAGAGGAAGGTCTGGACTTCTTTCAGCCATAGATGGGGACTCACAAGGTGTAGAAATGCAGTTGTTTTAAAGCATGCATGGAGAATGCAGGGCAGACAATCATGTTTAAAAACCAGAGTTGCTCCTGGCATAGATATGCCACTAGAAGCCAGAATGGCCCTGATGGAAAGGCTGAGCCAGTCGTCTCTGGCCAAGGAGGTTTGGGGGTGAATAAGTCCTCGCCCTCCACCTGCTGTGCTATTTTAACACTGCAAACCACTTTGACCCTGGACTTTATAAAGCCCTGTAATTTCTTCCTGCTGGGGATCGAAGCCCTGCGGTTTTTATGCCATTAGCAAGTTACATTGTAAGCTATATCCACAGAGCTTGAATCAGCAGCTTTTGTTTTCGGGGTGCGGGGCAAGGCTTCCAAGGAGCAAAAACATCTAAGGAGTGAAAACATCTGGCCCAGTGCGTTCATCTTGCTAGTGCAGCCGCAGTGCTCTCCCTCTCTCTGTGTGTATAGGAGGTTCTTCCTGATGTGTCAGTGTTTCTCAAACTTGGGTCCCTAGCTGTTGTTGGACAATAACTCCCATCATTCCTAGCTAGCAGGATCAGTGGTCAGGGTGATGGAAATTGTAGTGTGAAAAACACTGTATTAACAGAACACAAGCTGACACCACCCCAATCCCTGCGAACAGGAGAATTACATTTGAATAAACAGGGAAAATACACCAGGTATTCTGGCCAGGGCTAGGCTAACGCGCTCATCAAGAATATATTGTTTTGTTACTTCTAGATAGCTATCCATGGAAGCTAACAACTGTAGTTAAATGTAAGTCATAAAAACAATAATTTAAATGCATCAAAAATTAACAAGAAAAATAAATTAAGATCTGGAAGGAACAGAGGAGGTGTTTGTTCAAGTACTTTTGCCCCAAGTTGAATGGAGCCTGGTAGCTTTAAGGCAGCCAACATTTCCCTTTTTCACTGTAGCATTTCCCCTTTTCACTGCGCAAGAAGCCCTCAGATCAGTTTAAATCCCACTTCAGCCGCAATGATCACTGAGGTAACAAATATGACCTCAAAAGCACTTTGATCATTCAAATCAATCACACACAGTTTCATTTTTTAGTTACTTACACAATGGTCCTATACCTCCACAGACACAAGAATATCTCTGCTCCAATGTGAGAAGCAGCATTGTCCCCTCTCCTCACCACTCCCTGCCACACACACACAGATTCCATGAGACTCCAGCCATTTCAGACCCAGAGTGGACCTTTTTCTGCAGCAACCTTTCAAGTGGTGTCAGGTATCCAGCTTCCACACAGCTAGCTTAAGGAAAAGCTCAAATTTCTCCCTGCTTTAAAAAAAAAAAACTCGGAAAAAACTACTAAGATGACAGCTTCCTAGAAACAGGTAGGTAGCCGTGTTGGTCTGCCGTAGTCAAAACAAAATTAAAAAATTCCTTCCAGTAGCACCTTAGAGACCAACTAAGCTTCTTAGAAGGCACTGAAGTGGCTAATTCTCTTTTTATAGGTTCTATTTCTGAAAATCACAATTTAAACCAGGGAGGCTAACAGCTGCAGAAACGTATATTGAAAGGCACTACAGAAATGACATTACTAAATGAAACAAACCAGTATTTCTAAGCACTGGATTCTAATTCCTCATTTATGGAACACAACTGTCTGCATTCACTTTAGGAACAATATTAAAGGCCATTGTCTCTTGAGAAGGTGACCCCCCCCAACCCATTGCAATATTAATTCGAGATCAGATTTCACACACAGATCCACATAAGAAAAAGATGAAAATATAGAAGGGCTTGGCCTTTCTTCCAAGGGCAGTACTTTTATTCTCTCAACAGTCACGTGAGAGAAGGTGGTGACTGACCCCAAACCAACTGACAATTTCCATAGATGAATTTGGGAGGGGGACCCCCATCCTAATACTCTATCCACCACACCTCTCCCCCTCTCTCTGGATCAACTTATCCTAGTCATCTGTGTCACACTAAGGAGTTAACAGATCTTTGCTTTTGGAGTTAAGCTTTAAGAAAGCTGGAGGGCTTGATCCGTTCAGTCCCATTTTGGAGTCAGAAAGGCGTTCCTGGAAAAGTGTGCCCACTTTCAAAATCCCTTTAGAGCACCACACCAGCAGTTTAGCACTCAAAAGCACCTTGGAAGTACCTCCCAGGGCAGAGGAATGCAGAATCTGCATGCAGATGATCCTAGTCTGACCCAAACCACAACACTATGCACCTCAGCTCTATGTGACTCAAGGCAGCAAAATAGAGGGGAAAGCTTTGCCAGAGCTTCTGCTATTGTTCACACTAGGAAGGAGAAGTTCAAAGAGTCATTTGTGGGTGGCGAAGCCATGTATTCCGGTCCTTCATCCCCACCCTAGTGCAGTTTAAAAAGGCAGCCCCTGTTTTCACTGCTGCTCCAGTGCACAGTAAAGGTAATGGTACCCCTGCCCGTACGGGCCAGTCTTGACAGACTCTAGGGTTGTGCACTCATCTCACTCTAGAGGCCGGGAGCCAGCGCCGTCCGCAGACACTTCCGGGTCACGTGGCCAGCGTGACATCGCTGCTCTGGCGAGCCAGCGCAGCACACGGAACGCTGTTTACCTTCCCGCTATTACGCGGTACCTATTTATCTACTTGCACTTAAGAGTGCTTTCAAACTGCTAGGTGGGCAGGAGCTGGGACCGAAAGACGGGAGCTCGCCCCGCCGCGGGGATTCGAACCGCCGACCATACAATCGGCAAGTCCTAGGCACTGTGGTTTTACCCACAGCGCCACCCGCGTTCCTGCTCCAGTGCACAACAAGACGGTTATTTCTATTCTGGCCAAGTTAAGAGCATAAGACAGACCTACAAGGGCCCGTCTAGTCCAGCATCCTGTTTTCATATAGTCAACCAAATTTCTGTGGGAATCGCCCAAGCAGGATCGGAGCACAAGTGCACTCTCCCCAGTTGGGAAAAATCTTGCTCCAAAATGCCCCCCTTCTAAAACTTCTTAAACTTCTTTCTGCAATTATAAGCCCACACCCAATTTTAAAACCAGTAACAGAAATCGAGATACCATCATCATCCAATGCTACATCGTCTTGTCAATGGCTGAAGACTGCATGGAACTTCAGAAAGAAAAACTGGAGCAAAACACGCTTCCGAACGACGAGTCAAAACAAATGAGAGATGCCTACAACTTAAGCAACAAAAGGCAGCAGAAGAGCCCCTCACATGGATCCCATTTACAAAAATGTTCTCACCCTTGTGGAGCTTTAGGCTGCTCTTTCCCCTTTTTAAAATCATTATTTTTATTCTGCAAGCCACCTAGATAATTTTATGTACAAAGGTGACCATAGCATCAACTTAATAGTAAACAAACACACCAGCAGCAACCGTAGCCCTTTTGGAGCTACTGCTCAAGTCCCCCAAAGATAATAAATAAGTAATAATAATAATTTATACCCCACCCGCCTGGCTGGGTTTCCCCAGACACTCTGGGCTGCTTCCAACAAAATATTAAAATACAATAGTCTGTCAAACATGAAAAGCTTCCCTAAACAGGACTGCCTTCAGATGTTTTCTCAAAGTCTGGTGGTTGTTTTTCTCTTTGACATCTGGTGGGAGGGCGTTCCACAGGGCGGGCGTCACTACGAGATGTTCAGGACCTTAAATTGTTTTAAAACGCACTCCTGCAATCTGGTGCCCCCATATGCTTTGAATGACATCTAGAGAGGACCGGGGTAGAGTGCCAAACTAGGATCTGCGTAAACTAAGGGGTCAAATCACCACTTCGCCCCTAAGATCTCTGGGTGACGCAGGGCCAGTCACACACTCTCACAGGGTTGTTTTGGGGATAAAATGGAGATGAGGAGAACTATGTAGGTCACCTTGAGCTCCTGGGGGGAGGGGAGGCGGGAGTATAAATATGTAGTGAGCAAGTGAATTTTGATTTATTTTATTTATTTATTTTTGTTGTAGGTACTGTTTTTAAGTAGGGGGGAGGCGGGGGTATAAATGTAGTAAAGCAAGTGAATTTTGATTTATTTTATTTATTTATTTTTGTTGTGGGTGTTGTTTTTAAGTAGCAAATCAAGGATCCTGGCGCCAGATGCAGAATGCAAACAGGAGCAGACAGTGGCTTCTGCGAGAAAAGCAGCTTTTCCCCAAGAAATAAGCAACACCCCCCCAATAATAATAATAATTTTATTTATACCCCGCCCTCCCCAGCCAAGACCAGGCTCAGGGCGGCTAACAACCAATAATAAAAACAAGTGGATTAAAATACAATTTAAAAGATTAAGATACAACATTAAAACATTAGGATGCAATGTTTTAAAATATTAGGATGCAAGAAAATAAAGAAAAACCCCACAGCTTCTGCACCACTGGGCGGGCATTTTGCTTTCACCCCGCTTCTTTTGGACCAGGGTTCAAATCACCCCCTCGGCCAACGGAGCTCTCTGGGTGACGCAGGGCCACACTCTCACAGGGTTGTTTTGGGGATAAAATGGAGATGAGAAGAACTATGTAGGTCACCTTGAGCTCCTTGCGGGGGGGGGGGTATAAATGTAGTAAGCAAGTGAATTTTGATTTTATTTTTTATTTTTGTTGTGGGTGCTGTTTTTAAGCAGCAAATCAAGGATCCTGGCGCCAGATGCAGAATGCAAACCGGCACGGACAATGGCTTCTGAGAGAAGAGCAGCTTTTCCCCAAGAAATAAGCAACACCCCCCCAGAAAATAAATAAATAAATATAGTTTTATATAGTTTTATATATATATATGTTATATATATGTTTTATATATATATATATATGTTATATATGTGTGTGTGTGTGTGTGTGTGTATATATATATATATATATATATGTATTTTATATATATATATGTATTATATATATATATAAAAGTTTTATATATACATATACATATATATATATATATATATATATATATATAATTTTTTATTCAAAATTAAAACAAAACATATTATCCAGAAACTTATCATCCTTATTTCCCCCGCATTCTTCCTCCTCCCCCCCCCCCGAGAACCCACCCCCGACTTCCCTCACTTCCAGTCTTTGATTTCTCTAAAAATGCTGTTTCCTGCATGTTACACAGTTGGACAGATCCTCAAATTATTTAGCTGATTCTTATCAATAAAAAGTTTGTGAATGTTCATTCAAAACCAGCCAAGGAGTCCAGTCCCAAGAAAATAAAGAAAGACCCCCCCCCACAGCTTCTGCACCCCTGGGCGGGCGTTTTGCTTTCACCCCGCCTCTTTGGGACCAGGGTTCAAATCACCCCCTCGGCCTGGCCCACCTCGCAGGGTTGTTGTGAGGATTCAGCCAGGAAGCCGCCCGCCCCCCTGAGTTCCTTGGGCCCCCGAGGCGAGCCTCCCCTCCCTGCGCCTTCCCCGCCCTCCCTCCCTACCTGCAGGCCAGCGCCATCTCTCCGCTCCCTGAGGCAGCCAGACCCGCTTCTGTGGCGACGATTCTGCTGACTGTCCCCCGACACCCCGGCCGGAAGTTTACGGTCCTCGCGCCAGAGCCGCTTCCGGGTCAAGGCGCCTCCGTCTTGATTGGACGGTGCCGAAGTTGGCCCCGCCCTCGGGCGGCAAGCGCTGTTGAGCCGAGGGCCGCCGCCACAAGAGGGCGCTCTACGCCCAGGGATTTGCCTCGCCTCGTTGGCGCTGCTTTTAGGAACTGCCGTATTTATGGACGCTTTTGATACCGTATTGCGCTGTAGTAATAATAATAAGAACACTAAAATACAATAACCTGTAATGATGTAACTGTATTTTTATTATTATTATTCCGTATTGATGGATGCTTTTGATACCGTATTGCACTGTAATAATAATATTCCCCAGCCACTCTGGGCGGCTTCCAACAGAACACTAAAATACAATAACCTGTAATATTGTAACTGCATTTTTATTATTATTATTCCGTATTTATGGATGTTTTTGATACCATATTGCGCTGTAATAATAATAATCCCCAGCCACTCTGGGCGGCTTTCAACAGAACACTAAAATACAATCATCTGTAATGATGTAAATTGTATTTTTTAAAAAATTATTATTATTATACCGTATTTACGGATGCTTTTGATACCATATTGCGCTGTAGTAATAAGAAGAATTTATTATTAATACCCCGCCTATCTGGCTAGGTTTCCCCAGCCACTCTTGAGGGCTCGAAGGTGAAGGGTTGGTAATAAGTAAATGATTCAATTTGTTTTTTTGTTTAAAATTCAGCCGCTGAACCCAATTAAAAAAACAACAAAGGATCTTCTTTTCTTTTCTTTGATAAGAGTTATGAGCTTGGGGGATCAGGGGGAATGCAGCAGATGTAGAGTATATCTTGATTTCACTAAGGCTATTTGCAAATTGGCCCATGAAATTCTCTTCCAACTCCACAATTCTGATTCTGTAATTTATCAGAAGTCTCTGCAGCTCAGCACTCTGCCACATCATAAGGTTATTTTTAAAAGACCAATAAATAATCCCCTACATGACAGATTTATGCAGCAGTTAAAAATTATGAAATTCTGTCCTCCAGAAGGGAGCGATAGCCACCAACTGGAAGGGCTTTAATGCATGGAGGGCTAGTAGTCATGATGGCTATTGCTCTACCTCATTTGAAGGAATAGTTTCAGAGTGGAAGTTGCCAGAAGCCACAGGAGAGGGACTCATGTTCACGTCCTGCTTGCGGGCTGGCCACTGTGAGAACAGGTTACTGGACCAGATGAACCACTAGCCTGATCCAGAAGGTTCTTATGTTCTTCAAATACAAATGTTACAACCCTATGCCTGCGTTTCAGGTGTGTCATTTAACTCAGTGGGACTTCCGGGTAGGCATGCGTAAGATTCAGTGTTTTAAGGCAGAACTCAATGCAATTTTACATTGTGATATTCTTCACAGGTCATGGAAAGTATTGATGTCACTCCGTTGCACCAGGCCAGAGTGAGAGCCGTGTCTAGTTCTGCAGACCAGAAATTGAGATCTAAAATTGATGCGTCCAGAGGATGGCACATTGGAGACAGCCATAGGGAGTATAACAGTTGGGAATAGTCATACCTCGGGTTACAGATGCTTCAGGTTGCGGTTTTTTTGGGTTACGGACCTGCTGAAACCCGGAATACCGAATAGGGTTACTTTCGGGTTTGGGGGGTCATGCATGCGCAGAAGCACTATACTGTGCTTCATGCAGAAGCGCCGAATCACAACCCGCTCGTGCATCCCGCACGGATCACGTTTGCAACCCAAGCATCCACTGTATTTAGCTTGGAAAAACCAAAGGGCTGTCACAAGTACAATGAACAATTTTTTTTTTATTGCCGCATTTTTCGCTCTATAAGATGCACCATATCACAAGATGCACCTAGTTTTTGGAGAAGGAAAACAAGAAAAAAAATATTCTGAATTTCAGAAGCCAGAACAGCAAGAGGGATCGCTGCGCAGTGAAAGCAGCAAGCCCTCTTGCTGTTCTGGCTTCTGGGATAGCTGCGCAGCCTGCATTCGCTCCATAAGACGCACACACATTTCCCCTTACTTTTTAGGAGGGAAAAAGTGAGTCTTATAGAGCAGAAAATATGGTATTATTGGGGGCGGGGGAGAGACCTGGACCAATGAATTCATTCAGATCCTTCTTACATTAGGAAAGCGTCCAGCTTTCTTCAAGTGAAACAGATTGCTTCAGGAGATAGAGGGCTCTCCTTTCCCAAGGGTTTTAAAGACACTGGACAGCTACCCGAGTTCCCATATTCCCTGTAGCAGTCATGGCTGATGAACTTGTTGAGGCCCGTGGTTAAGTTCAAAGTCCACTTAACATCCACTGCACAGCAACACACCTAGCCCTCTGGTGTTGGCTATCCCGCAGCTTTGAGCATGAGGTTGCAGTCCTATTAAAGCAAATTATTTTCAGCATTGCAAGTTAAATCTGAGAATTGTTGAATATAGTTGGTTTTATTTCAAGCAGTAGTTTTTTTGCTGCTGTCACCCACCCTGCAACATTATGGTGAAGGACAGATAAGAGATGTGAGCAGTGCTGGGCTAGGAACTGCGAGACTTAGGTTCAAATCCCCACTCAGTACAAAACTCACTGGGTTGATCTTGGGCCAGTCGCTGCCCCTCAGAGGGTTGTAAGAAAAAAATGGGGGGGGGGGGGAGAGCCGCCACCACCACAAGCTCTTCGAAGGAAAAGTGATAGAACGGTTGTTGTTTTTTTTAAAAAAAGCATTCAGGGAATGTTTAAGGTACAGGTATCAATTAAGAAGGCACATTCAAAAGTTCAGAAAGACAAGCAATAAGTTGTCTTCAAACCATTCTGGAGCATGGCTTACACATACATCTGGAATTTGTGGAAATGCCACTGGCAGGCTATAGCAAAGTGGCAGCATGCTGGAATTCTTTGGATAAAATATTGCCATATGTAGCGCTAGTTTGGGCTCCAGGACAAAGTAGGCTACGTTTCATCACTGTGGCTGAGTGATCGTTGTGTTAACTTGCTTTCTAAACATGGAAATGGGGACAAAAATCAGTGATGCAGCTACCACACTTGGCCTTCAAACAATAGAACCATTAAAATAACAAACAGGCACCCAACATTCATACACTGACCCCAAAACTTCCAAGTATGCAGGTAAGACTTCACCTGCTAGATAGGAATGGGCTGTCATCACTGCCTGCACTGGTGGAAACTGCTCAGTATTGAGTAGCCACCTACCATCACACATTTCCCATAATGCCCTGGCATGTACAGCACAGTGCCTCTGGACATAGAACAAATTAAAATGGCACTGCTTCCCAGGACCAGATATTGGGTAACTCACCCCCCTGTCCCACTCCACCAAAACATGGAACCAGACACAGCTTTAAGCCTCCTTAAACTCCCTCCCTCTCTCTGTTCAAAGCCAGGCAGACGCAAGTTAACAAACTGAGTATTCTTTATTGACAAGTTTTCAGCTCAAAGGACTCCTGCTTCAAGACAAATAATTAAAATCCAATTTCTCCTATCATTATTACTTTTAGAAATCGAACAGCAGCCTCACTGTTAAGAGATTGCCACAGAACCTCCTTGTCTTTTTAAATACTGTACTCCCTTTTCTGGAGTAAAGGGTTAGCTATAAAAACGAGGTATAAAAGATAGGGGGAGGGAGAGGGAGGAATTTTCAAAACAAGTGAAAAAAGTATTTACACAGAGATATCTACAATTGGACCTAAGTGCATATATGACAATTCCATGCACCAAGACGGAATGGTGAACACGCTTCCAGCAGAGGTTCTTCTTTCACAAAACCCTGATTCTTTCCATCAAATTCTTAAGATTCTTCTTGATCTTCAATCTTTGGAGCCAAATAATATTTCAAATGTCCCATGTCTGCTATCTTATATTCAACAACTGCAGGAGACCAATAAACAAAAGTTAAGTTTGATTTAAATTGAAACCAAAGTTAAAACCAAATGAACTTGCAGAGATAGCTTCCTAATGAAACCTACCTAGTGGGACACCTGCAGACATACTGAGGGTAACTGTAGAAGACAATGGTGTGGCTTTGGTGAAGAAGTTCAAGTATCTCAAAGCAAAAGTCAGCTGGACTGCCTCATTCATCTCTATTGTAACCTACAACAAATTAAATTTGAATTAAATATTCTATAGCACACTGTTTTAGAAATCCAACAAGCTTAACAACTGCAATTAGAAACAGCTTTATCACAAGCAAGGTAGGCAAACTGTTCTGCAAGTTTATGGAGGGGAGAGAAGAGATAGTAAAGGACAATTAACATCATCTCTACAACCTGCAGTTAAAACTTCACCAACTTACAGATTCTTCCTCTTTATCCACATCACTGGTTTGTGACAGTTTTATATTTCCACTTCCTAGCTCTCCAGTAGCAGAAAATTTAACACCGTCTTTTGCACAAGAGATTACAACAGCATCTCCAATGTGGCTAAGATCTCTGCAGATGCGAGCAAATTCACCAGAAGGCATTTTCACCACACAGCTGTACTCTTGTTCCTGAAAGAGCAACACAGAGCCTTACTTTGAGCAGCATTTTCACAATATTTGCAGGAGCAATTCAAGCCAAAATATTAACTAAAGGAAAACAGAAATAGTTCAGTTATTCATTAAGATCAGACAAGAAATAAAAATGTGCCTTCCTTATGAAAATAAAAAAATCACTCGCTTCAATCCTCCTTGGAAATCTCCTTCAATTCAGTTTAACAATTTCTTATGCAATCAGATGGAAATAATTATTCATGAAGATGGAAATAATATAATCCAACAAATGCTTGCTTAAATAGGAAGACAATGTAGTTCTGTAGCTAGGAATAGTTTTGTTAACTATTTTTACAGCACAAGCTTACATTTAAGCTCAGTTAATTACAATAAATTTGAATAAAAAGTGCACTTACTGGAATTCCAAGCTGCTCTACGTCCAAGTCCATTAATTTCATTTCATAGTCCGACACCTTCTCCTGATCTAAGGAGAAAATGGGAGTATTAGTCAAGTATATAATTATGACGCTTAACTTAAGAGATCTCCT